AGAAGGGTTGGAGTTGGGGTGGGAGGGGGGGGAGAACTTTTTTTGGGAAAAAGTTATTTTGAAAATGAGTGCATGCTTTCATAGTGTCATGGCCAGAGTGCTGAGTTCTGCCAGAAGATTTCCCTTTGGAAAATGACATTTTCAGGGATCCACTACCTGTTTACCGTGACTCTACCGGGGACATAGTGGCTTTTCAGGGCAGCTGTGTCTTGCAAAAGAAAGCTCCTTGCACACAGTATTTTAGGTATCACCAAATGATTTAAGAGCCACTTTCTTTTTCTGTTATTGAGTATTTAACCAGGTTCTTCACTTGGATGACTAAATTGTAAGAAGTCTTAGACAGTGGGGAGGATTTTGTAGCTGCACACAGAAGATAAATCCATAAGATAACTTCGTTATGCTTCAGACCACTTCTGCTTTCCTTGTGTTTTCCTCATCTGTCACTAGTGATGTCAGCACCAGAAAGCACCTGGAGGTGGTTGGATTCCCCATGTGTTCTTCACTTAAGAGATCAGTTTATCAATGCACATAAAAATGGTGCAGCTGGTGGTAAAGGGTTTTGTACAACATCCATATTACACTGAAATTCTTCAGGGAGATGCCTGCATTTTTACAGGCTGTGGTAGAGTGGGCAACTTTTGATTAGAGCCTGTAAATTTGAGCACAGTGTGAGCATTTAGTAGTGACGAAAAACCCTGAGAGTCAGTAAAGGCACTCAGTGTCCCCTCCCCAGGCAGGGTCACCTCCTTGCTGTGACCCCACGCCGCATGGTCAGTGACCAGTGGTGGCAAAGGCACCACAAGGTCTGGAGATCTCAGTTGGGTTTAGAATCCTTCACAGGAGGGACAAAAACCTGCAGGAAAATGTTCCTGCAGAGACTGGACCCGCGGGGGCTGCAGCAAGAACTGGATCTGGAAGTTTGGATGCTTGGGAGAACAGCCGGGAGGAGAACAGAGATAACATCTCGCCGCATGGCCACGCCCTGCTCATCAGCCTGATTCAGCTCTCCCTGATGAGCACTGTCCTACCGTTCAGCTTCCATGCTCAAACCTCCCTGTTGGCCGGGGGAGGAGGAGTGTTGAAAGAGCTGCTCCTGAAAGTTCTTGTGTTTCAGTGGCGGCTCTGCACCTCTGAAGAGAGAGGAAGAGTGATACACTTTCAACTTTAGAGGCTGAAATGAAATTAGATGTAAATGCATTCCAAGCAATGAAGGCGAATTTGCTTACTAATCTGGGTTGCATCTCCTTTTCCCCTTCCTCACACTCAAAGCAGCATTACCATTACCTGTGCCTGTGTCACCCCTTCCCAGTCCTGCTGTGCTCCTGCAGGAGCATCTCCCAGGAGCCTGGACAAGGCAGGAATAAAGAGGCCAAGGCAGCAAGGAAGGAAATGTGGAACATGGGAACTGGGAAAAGGGCAACCGTGTTTGGACATCCAGGAGAAATGTTTATTTGCACCACTTCTCTTACCTTTTCCCCCAAAAGGGGGCCTGCTGCTTAACTTCTAAGGGAATTCAGGCTGAGCAAGAAAGTCTGGCCCAGTGGGCCTCTGAAGGTGGAGATAGGAAAATGTTTGGTGTCAGTAGGGAAATCCATTTTTTTTAGGTGATTCTGTCAGCTTCCCAGCTTACCCTGTCTGCCTTGCCTTTCCCTCATGGTCTCTCTCCAAAGGTACCTTAACCCACACCTCCCTGCTGTCCTGCTGCCACTGAACTACCCAAAACCACAATCAACTCTCTCCTGCTGTCAAATTAACTTGTCACCCCAGGTTTCGAACTTGCCTTCCTCATCAGGAGGAATAGAAATAGTACAAATGTGTTATTTTGCCTTCAGAATGACACCTGGCAATGTTTCTTACCTATTGATTTAAATAATTTAGCATTTTAAAAGGAGCAAATCAACTTAATTTGTTTTGGGGATACTTAAAGGTTGAGGACAATTTTATATCAATTAAAATCAGTGGTAATTCATTTATGATGGAACTAATGTAATTAATTAGATAGTTGCTGCTTATCTTCTTTCTAATACATACATTGCTTTTAAACATCTGCTCAATAGTCCATTATGATAGCACGGGAGTGATTTTACCTGAGAGCAATAGAGGAGCAGATGCTTCCTGATGACAGCTTCCCAGTTTATTTAGGAAACAGCCAGCCAGTCCTGGATTCACAGTTTTAACTTGAAGCATGGCAGGCATGCAAGTAAATTTGAAAATCAGAAACAAAAATATTTGAGATACAGGTTTCTTCATATAATTTTTAATGACTGCAGTTTGGTTTAAATCCCTTTTTTGGTTAGGGTTGTATATGACATTTTTTAAGGCTGATGTTTGTGTTTTGTCTTTTGTTTTGTGGTGTCTGTACATGTGAATGTTTTGCAGCAGTTACAAAACCATCCAAATTTAAATTTGATTTCAGTGTTGTCCAGTGCAGTAACTAAAATTTAGCATTATGTCAAAAAGAGTCAGAACAACAATATAAATAGGAAAAAAAAAAACTAGAACAATTATTCAGAGAAAGACTTAAAATAGGCTGTCATGACATATGTAAAAATAAAGTGTCAGTTTTTTTTGCTTTTTAAAAATAAGTTACACCTGTGTTTTGTATTTGTGGCTTTATCAGTACTGGTTAAAGAGTGAAAATGAGGTCTTGTGGGCTGATATAAAACTGTCTGAGGCTCCTTGGTTCTAGTGACCCATTTGTAGATTTTTAGCTGTTTCAAAGATCACCTGAAATGACTGCACTCGTTTTATTCATCTCATCAGCAAAGTTCATCTCATCAGCTACAAGAGATACCATCGAAACTTGTAGGTTACAAAATGTACTTTGCCTGCAAAAATACTGTGGGCTGTACTTGCAGAGACTGTAAAGAGCACGATTGCACATCAGTGATGTGTCTTTTTAAATCAGAAAACGTGAAATTGCTGTTTCCTGAGAGGAAGGGGGATTAGAGTAGCCCTGAGAAGGATTCAGCCATTTGCCTTTGTGTGCAGATCTAAAATAGTCACAAATTAGTCATTTTACCATTATGTACAAAATGCAGTGTATGCAGACAGCCTATTTTCTAGAACAGGGGTATTTAACATAGGAACAGGTAGTGTTGCTGTTTCCAGAAGTATCTTTTAGGGCAGGGTAAGCTGGTGACTAAGCAGGAGGCAAGGCCGTGGTATCTGATGAAACATTAATGCCTGAGAAGCACCATGTAGGCTCAGTTCTGAGCACAGAATCCTTCTCTTCCCCACCCTAACTGTACCTGGGTTTGGTTTTTTGTTTTCTTTTCCCACAGGCTGGTCTCTTTTGCTATTCTTACTGAAGCATTAATCAATTTTTAAGAAGGTTCAGTGTTATATAGAGAAGAATTTTTTTTTAAGCTGTATTTTACATATAACCACTGAGTAAGAGTTGTGTGAGGAGGAAAAGAACATCTCTTCTTGGTCTGCCACTCATGTATGTGGGAGCAGGGAATATCATACCTGTCTTTATCTGGCCTGTAACATCAGGAACAGCAATCAACACTGTCGTTCTGGCAGGTTGACTTCTTCACATACAGTTTTTAAAACTAGGTTAACCCAGAGAGCATGTTTTCAAACAGTCCCATTCAGTGCTTTAGGCACTTGTTTCCCCATAAGCAAAAACCAACCATGTCCCTGCAGGCATCTGGGATTTACCAGGGAACCTCTGCTCCGTGGCCATCTGTGATCTTCTGCTCATTTTGTGTCCAGAAATGTTTGGGCAGTTCCTTGGTCTGCAGCTTCCCAAGGTCTGGGCTTTCACTTGTGGACTTCTGTCCCTCTGCCTCAGCAGCATCTGGGTGCCTAATTCACTAAATCTGGGGAAAGTCACATCAGGAATAAAACCTGAAAATATCTTGGGTGTCGTTACTGTTAAAGTTTATCAGTTGTTATATTTTTTTCATATATCGATTCATCCATTGCTGACTTGATAAAGGATGTGAGATAAAAATGCAAAATAGCTTTAAATTTCTGGTGTGTTGTATGAACATAGTGTTCAGAGGATGCTGGTTCTTCTTTTCTGCTCAGTCTTTTTCTGTTTTTCTTGGACAGATACCATAAGCCAATATTCAGGGTTGCTTGGCAATAGCCAAGTCATGAAATGCACACCCAACCTGTGGGGCATTATGGTTGCTTAGTTCATGCATGTAAATTTGGGGGTTTGAGCACTGAACAAGTCCACACCCAGAGTGTCTTCTTGGAAAGTTTGTTCTTGTGTTTAATCTTAATGGCATTATTAATTTAATGGTTACATTTTTAGAGACATTGAGTTATGACAGCTTTTAGAAAAGTCCAAACAACTGCGTGCTTAGCACTGTTGGAATATTAATTTGAAATGTTGTGAAATTCGTGCTGCAGCTGTGGTATATCTCAATGCAATTAGTTTCATCTATTTTGATTTGTTTCAAATCTACCATAAACTTTAGTACTTTACACCTGGAATATACACTAACGGGGGGAAAAAAAACCGTTCTCAGTTTTATTATTACATTTTATGTTATTATTATAATTACATTAGATGATATATTTTATATTATTAGCAAAAGCAACTCCTGGCAAAAAGCCTTTAAAGAAAGTAGATCAGAGGATTTTTGGTGGATACATTTGATTTGTCTTTTGGCAAGCAAAACCAGATTATTTAAGGATACACTTCTAAAATGGTCTATACAGAATGTAATGAGGACAGGTACAGCTGTAGTCCCCTTATTGTGCCAGTTCCTGTGCCATGAAGATTTTAGAGAGAGCAGCTTAGAAAGATCTCAATTCTGGAAGGGCTTGCAGATTAGTTTGTGGAAGATGTCCGTAGGTTTCAGACCTCTCTGATTTTCCCTGCTAGCGCTGAGAAATTCCCCGGCGAGTTTGCACGAGCAGTGTGGCGACAGGGCTGGTTGCCATTATTTCTGCTGCGCGCATCCACTGGGCCCGTGGCAGTTTCCCCGGGCGCAGCAGCAGAGGCTGACGCGCCGCTGTGGCCTCGCGTGTCGTTGCAGGAGCCCTCGGAGGACTGCCAGGCCGCCGGGGCGTGCAGCACGGAAGAAGTGGTTCGCTATGAGTACCACGTCCTCTACTCCAGCAGCTACCAAGTGCCCGTGCTGTATTTCAGAGCCTGCTGCTTGGGTAAGGCCAGCACACACCCCACGTGCTGCGTGCACTGGATGTTGGGAGTCCTCTCTTTTGAGCTGAGGAAGGGAGGTAATAAGGAACCAAGAGGTGAGGCTGCTCACCAGAGGGTTTTTCAGTGCTCTGGACTCAGAGCTCCAGCACCGTGGAGGAGATGATATCATCTCAGCCTGAGGGAGGCTGATCTTTGGCTCCTGGCATCTTGCCTGTGGTTGACTGAAACTGCTGGTCATTTTTCTTGTTCTTTTCTTGAAATGACTACAAAAACTTAGTGCTGCAGGTTTAAACTGGGCTGGGCAATCAGTGGAGACATAACCACAGTGCTTGAGCCACAAGGCTGGGGTCTAAACGTGTCTTTCATGCTGTTTTCTGTTTAAATTTGCTGCTTAGGGGATAATAAAATAATACTGATAGGATATTGACTTTTTGTTTTGTATTGAAGCTGGCCCTTGAAACAGCCTGATCCTGTCCCCTCCCTGGTATGTGCATCTTGCTACCCACAGCTCTGTGGCTGCAGCCACTGTGATTTCAGCCCCCATCCTGTCAGGGGAGGAAGGAGGGACACTCAGCCTCCCAGGGAGGCCACTGCTGGTGTCACTCCCTTAATCAGCAGGCATGGAGTGATCACACTGCAGCACTGGCTGTGTTCTGTGCCCCAAGCCTGGGTACCTCTGCTCCAGGGGCACCTGGCTTGTGCCTGCAGTGGTGGGACCAGCAGGACCAGCTTGTGGCACTTGGGGACAATGTTGAGTGGTGAGCCATGGCTGTTAAGGCTTGGACTCGATCATTTTAGAGCTCTTATCCAATCTAAACGATTCTGTGATCAGCATCTTCAGTGTTTTGAATAATATCTTAACTTTATCTAGATAATGATGTCTGAATGTTGCCAGTGATATCTTTTCCTTTTTAATTAAAAAGTAGCTTAAGCTGCTTTGAATGTGTTTGGTAGATTTAATCACTCTCTGCCTTATATTGTTTAATGGTTTCTAATTTTGCAGTGTTAGCGTTTCAAAAAGCACTTCAGATTCAAAATTGAAGAACAAATTCTCTTAGGCTCCCTGGTGGAAAGATTTTAGTCTGAGGTGCAGTTTCAGGAATGGATAATTTGGGGTAAATTTTCAGAGTGGGACATGGGGAACTGGGGACATTGCTCTGCCTTTACCACCAAAACTCATTTGCACACATCCTGTTGCAAATTTATTTCCAGCATTATTACAGGCATTCACAAACGTGCAGGGCTTTGCCTTTGAACTTATTGTGCAGACAGGAAGATGAAGGTAGTTTTGCTGTGAGAGACGGGTTAGCCTATTTGTGGTCCTGAAAAATGTCATCTTCTGGATTTTTGCTGAATTTATAGTGCAGTGTCTCTACAGAAGAGGACGGAGATGGTGCAGGTAGAGGAAGTAGGACAGTATCTCTACTGTACTGTACTTCCATGTAATTAGTATTCACCATAAGCAGTTAATCACCAGAGAAGAGCTCACAGAGACAAAACAAGTTGTTTAGCTTGTCAGCACCAGGGAATCGGAGGTGTTGAAACATGACTCCTTATAGCTGGAAGTGGATATTACAGGAGCCAGTGGATGATCTAATGCACAATCATGGTATTATGTGCCAACAGCTCCCCTTGCAGTACAGAACTGTAATTGCTCCTACAAGTACAATTATCCTTTAAAACACTTCTTGGGAACCTTTCACAATGGAAAACAAGGGCTTTTTTTAGATGCTTCCGAAGGTCACCTGGGTTCTCTTCAGCATTTTGCATTCTCTTTTAAATTATAACAATATCTGACTCTTGAAGGGAGCAGGATACTAAATGCTGGCAGTAAGTGTGTTTCCTACAGTGTTACCAGCTGGTATTCTCTGATTTTAATTATGGGCAGCTTACTTTTGAAAATGAAGAATTCTGTCTTCCCTGCACGTTGTTGGTCTGCCTGTGCTGCGCTGTCTGAAGGTCCCAAAGTGGGATTTTTGGAAATGTACAGCTGGCACACAATCACTTGAGATACCTGAGCAGAGTATCCTTTGTCTTGTCCCAAACCTGCTGTGAGGAAAAACTCTGGGAGATGCCCTGAGATTTTTTCCTGTTGAGGTAATAGTCCATGGATGGGCTCCTCACTTTGTTTGTCACACAATCAGCAATGCTCACTGCATTGCTCACCTGCACTAATCAAGGAACAATCTCCCCAAGACTTACCTCAATTTCCCAGTCTGAATTCCTACCATTGTTTGTAGACTCGGTAAGAGGAGGGGTTCCTCACAAGTCTCCTGTGAGCTGCTCCTGGTTCCCCTGGGATCCTGCCCATACTGATCCCCGTGCTAATTAGAGCTGGCTTCGGGAGCTGGAGGTGAGCTGGGATCCTTCCAGTGCTTCCACAGCCCTGCCCTGTCTTGCCTTCCCCAGCACGGGGCACAGAGCTGGAATTCAGAGCTCTGCTCCCTCCCTGGCAGTGTCTGCAATGCCCATCACACCTGGGAAACAATGATTCCTCTGTTCAGCCTGGCTGGGGCTTTTGCAGCATTCACCTCCTCCCTTTGTACAACAGCAGCTGATGCCAGCCTGTCCAAATCTGCACTCCAGCAGACGCTTTACAAACTTCTCTAGAATGTTGAAATCAGTGAAATCCTGCCTTTCTCCTGCTGCATGTGAGTGCAGCTTCCATTCACCTGGTCTCTCAGCCCCTCCTAGGAAAAAGGCTCCCCGTGGAGTTGCTGGGGGGATTTTCCTGTGGTCTCCAGCTTGGTTGGCATCCTCAGGAGCTTGTGCCAGTGAAGACATCCAGTTCTCACTCCTCTCTGCTAGAACTGATGTTCAGGCATTACAGATCACTTCTGCTGCAGAAGGGAAAAAAAGTTGCATTATATCCTTGCTCTTGCTGTCTCAATTGGATTAAATAACTTGCTTTCTTTAACTCGTCTTTTGACTTTTTTTGTTTGTGAGATGAAATTTGCTACATAAGGTGGTGGAAGGTAAGGTTTGAAATTTTGATTGCAACAGAACTAAAACATTTTGAGAGACATCTAAACTTTCTTGTAATCTCAGGGGATGGATTTACAGGGAAGACCTTGTTCTGTGCAAGGACAAATACTTCAGTTGAAAATAGTGATTAAGCATGATGAGACTGTCTGGAAAGGTGTTTGGGAACATTATAGGGTACAAGAAGATATTTTTAGGCAGTGTGTATATACATAAGAAACATTTTTCACTGCCTCATGATACTGGCCACGTGGTATTTATTCCTAATTTCAGACTTGCTGAAGTCACAGTCAAGTGTCAGGAGCTCAGGGCAGAGGCTAATTTCTCCAAAATCAGCTGTGTGCCTGCCATACCATCCAGAAACTGAGCCCTTCTTTCTTCCCCTGGCTTCTGAGACTACCAAATAGGTAGTTGAAGAAATGCATGAACCCCTGCTGATATCTGATGTCAGCAATTAGCCCTCTTGGAGACAGATGGTGTAGGCAATTATCCTTCCCCTTCAATGCTGGCATCAGCCAGATGGGCTGAGCTAGGTCCAGTAAGCTTTCTTTAATCAGCAGAGTATTTTCCTCTTTTCCTACTCTTTAAGATGTCAAGGAGCTTCAGTCTTTTCCTGAACCATCCCCATCTGAAGCCAGGCATTCAGAACCCCCTTGCCATACATTAGAAAGCCCACAGTGAGGTATCAGCAGCACAGGTGAGCACAGGCACCATTCAGGAATCACCCCGTGTGTAGGGAAAATAATGGCTTGTCTCACACTTCTCCTTTTTCCTGCAAAGGCAGAGGGAGCAGCAGGAAAGCTGGCTAAACACTGAAAAGAAGGAGCAGGACTAATGGGAGTCAACACGGACTGCACCCTCACTCCTCTAGAGAAGAGAAAAGGAATGAGGTTTTCAGGCTGACCTGCTCAAAACACTCTCTCAGCTCAGTGGCAGCTAAATCCCTGCCAATAAAAACCATGCTAATCAGTGGTTAGAGAGAGGGAGCTTCTGAGATAGGGCAACTTCCTCCAACCCTGGAGGCATGACTTTCTGTATTCACAACCGCACTGGGCCTGACTGAAGTGCTTTCCAGAATACAGATTTACTTCCTGAGCTCAAAAACATGTAACCACCATGTCCTTTCTCAGAAACACGGCTGCTCTAAAGACCATATCCTGTAAGAATTGGTTTAATTGTGGCTTTGGACATAACTGAAATTGAATAATTTCTGTGATCATATATTCTCTTAAGCTGCATGAGCTTTTTTTTTCTCATTTGGTAGTGGTTTTTAATATTGTTTCTCTATAAAATACATCAGAATGAAGCCTCAAAACAATTTGTGCACTCTTTCACCCAAAGCGTCAAATAACCTTTAAATGAAAATCTTAGAAATTGTTAAAAGCTTTTAATTGGGAATCTCTGAAATTACTAAAAGCCCTCACTACACATAAAGAAAATAGAATACAGTGACTTGGGAAGCCTGAAAAATTTCTCTGAAAGTAAATACGGAATTTTGTCTGCCTAAAGAATTTCTGCTCTTGGCAGAAATTAATGTCCAGCTGAGAATGCAGCTCCTGTGTGGTCTGACAGCCTCACCTTGCTGCTATGAGAGGGCACTCAGTATTCTGCCTTCAACTATTCCTCATTTGTGGGGATGTGATTGAGTTAACCCCAGCTGGGCAGTCAAGAAGCTTTTCTCAAAAAGTTTGCTGTAGCCTAAACAGTGTAAATAATAAAACCATCCCAGCTGAACTTGGGATAAGCCTTGGGACACACAGCAAGCTGTGTCCTTGTGGCTGGATGGTGACTAAATAAATGCATGGGTGGGTGAATCTGGAGCCTTCACCTTCCTCTCCTGCCCCTTCTCCTGGCTTGGTGCTGCTGTGTCCTTCAGGTTCTGGCTGAACTTCCCAGCTCAGCTCCATCCCAGGGAAGAAAAGAGGCACGAAGGCAAGAGGCTGCTTGGCTCAGCAGGTGCCACAGTGGGCCCTTGTTGCCAGCAGCAACAATTACTGCCTGCTCTGTCAGACCAGCTGGATGTTTGAGGTCTCAGTGGGTGTAAGAATGTGTAACAGGGCTGCTAAACATGTGAGAAGGGGGAAAAAGGGGTAAGAGAGCCCAAAGAATACAGATCTGTGCTTAGAGCCAGTCCAAACTTGTGAATAGAATGAATTCGCCATGTGGTAAAGACAAAACTTGTTTTTAACTATAACATGGTTAATATTTCAGTAACTTCTGATCATTTATAAAAATGGGACTAACAGAGTCAGAGTAATCCATTGCATGTGCATGTGAATCTGCTCAGTGTTACTATAAAAATTCTCAGAGAAAGGTGTACAGAGCACATCTAGAGTGGCAAATCAGATGTTGCGCTAGAACACGTGTTACTGTAGATTTTACACTTGGGCTTTCTCTGCTGAGAACAAAATTGCAGATATGCATGGCATTTCATATCACCTCCACACAGGTGATCTGAGTGTGAATACATCCTTCTGAAATAAATTTATGCTGTTGTAGCAAATTTCTTCATGAATATTAGACTGTCCGCAGCACAACTCTGGTATCTGTCATCTCAAAGCAGTGGATGTGATGGTCTAACAAGTCTTACCTTCATGAGGAAAGCATGGAAAAACTGATTAATATGCTGTTACCCCCTCAAAAACTTCATTTGCCATGTGATTCTGCTATATGGTGCTCATGTAAGTTCAGAACTTCCGGGTTTTTTTTTAATAAATATGTGCAGGAAATAAAACAGAGGCTGTAGGCAGCTGGTTTGAACTTGTGTCTAAACATGGCATTCAAATATTAATTGTGTGAATAAATCTTTTTTGTTTTACAGACATACAAATGTCAGTAGAATAAAACTGATTGTCAGAGGATGATGGTTTCTGACATCTGATAAATGCCAAGATGAAGCTACTTATTGAAAGTCTATCAAATACTCCGTTTGCCATAAGCAAATAATCATTAAAAATAGACATGCTTATTTTCTAAGTGGTTGACACTAATATCTTGGCATAATTCTAGCATCACAGCTAAAAACCTGATGAAGTAAAGCTACATAAATGCAGCTCAAGAAAACGTTGTGGACGCACGAAAATGCAGTAAACTTTTATCTGCACAATTTTGTTCCTTAGATTTTCTTCACTCTCTGAGTTGCATATATTTACAGTAGGTGATTCTTCATGATGTTATTTTGTGGTTTTAAATCCACCTCACCAAAGCTTTGTTTTACAAAACCAGTTACACTTCACACCTTGCAATCAGCACAGTGAGTTGTTACTCTCAGGTGGCAGAGAAGAAAACCAAACAGGGAATTTAGGGTGGTTCTGTGTGCACCTTCAGCCAGGATTGGAACAGGTTTCAGTTTCAATTCTGCTGTTCTGTATTAAAGACACAGCATGCCTAAGAGCTTTGGCTAAAGGTGGTTGTTTTTTCCCCCAGATGGAAGGCCTTTAACTCTGGATGAAATATGGGGAAGTGTTCATGCATCCTACCAGGCTCGTCTGCAGGAGGGGCCCTGGGACACTATTACACAGCAGGTGAGAATCCTCTGGTCCTTCATGAAACGGGGGAATGAAATATATGCCTGGATCCTCAGTGGTCTTATTCCTCTCTTGCACAGAAGGGAAAAAAATAAAACAATAAAAAAATATATATGTCTATATCATGTCGTGCTGAACCATTTACCAGCAATAGTTTCAGTCCTGGATTTTGAAGGATATATAAGTGTTCACCATTTAAGGCTTGCTTTGACAGTATCTCACATTTAAAATACTTCTCCAAAGCCAGCCCTCAAAAATTCAGGCAGTTTCTGAGTAATCGTGAATTTGGGTAAATACAAAAGCAGACTTGTTTATGTAAATAAAACATATCAGTGTAACATTTCTCGGATTGTCTGGTAATCAAATTACCAAAAAAGACTGTGTGTAATTTTCAGTTTTAAATAGACTTGCAGTCTTCAGGATTGAACAAGGGAAAATTGGTTTCCTATCCTGAAATAAGCTGGTGCTGTCTAATAGCTCAGAGCTGAGCTGGTTTGTTCTGGTGTCTTCCCTTTGCTCCAGGTCTCATGAACAAATCTGACAAAGAATTGAGACTCTCCAGGGGTGAGTTTTTTCCCCCTCAGACCAAGATACTAATGTGTCTTTTCTCCCTCCCCTTCTCCTCCTTGACTTTTTTATTCCAGTTGTTTCCAGGCACTCAGGTCTCCTGCCACAGCAGCATGACAAGGATGTGACATCCACCAGGTCCTACCGGTGCTCCCTTAATTCAAATAACCCAGTTTAATTACAGGATGCCTGTTTGTAGATGGTGCTCAGCCACGGGAACCCAAGCAGAATTCTTGTTTTTTGCAGCCACAGATTATTATTTATCTTATAACAGCTTCCTGAGAAGCTACCAAGCCATGGGTGTTCTGGAGATTGCTGTGCATGTGTGAATTCCAGTTGTGAGCCGGCAGGTTCTTACAATACACACTTTTCACATGAAGCATTAATTACCTGGCTTGTCTGTGAATGAAGATGAGGAAACTGGGTTTTAATAACTTAATGTAATAATGCAACACTACTGAGAATAAAGCATAAATGGGATGTTTGGGATGTGTGAAATCAGAGTTGTGGAAGCCAAAAGGAAATTCAGGTCACTCCTACACAGGGATTATTTTTGCTTCTTAAGGGACAGTAAAGTAAAAGCTGTCCTGCATCTAATAACTGGAGGTGTGTGTGGGATACTTACACACAAATTCCTGCAGAAACAGGAGTTTTGGGTGGCAGAATGTGTGGAGTACTGAATGTGATTCTGGGACACTCTCCAGAGGTGGTACAGTCAGCTGTGAGTACACTGACAAACACAGGAAGAACATTTTGGAGAAATTAGCAGAGTTAACAGCTGCAAAATGTGACTTTCTGTGAAATAAGGAGATTATGGAAGATAATGAAAACTAGCCTGCAAGCCTCAGATCAAAGCAAGAGTCAGGTCTACAAGAAAAAAACTGCTTTTCTCTGTCAAATGAATCAGGGTTCTGAACTGAAATACGGAGTTTTGTCTTGCCTTGCTGCTTTTCTGCTGACCCATTTTGTTATGTGGGTTAGGCTTTGCCTGCAGGGACACAGATCCTATAATGCAAGTCACTGGGCAAACTCATCAAATCAGGCTTGAGCGCTCAGTGCACATGAGCAGCAGAGTAAAAAGTGGTTTAGGATTTTAATCCAAAAGAGATACAAATTTTAGATGCTACAAGCACTCCACCACTGGGAATGAAAATTGAGTTTGCCAAGGGTAACGTGCATGTTACTTAACTTTTAACTAGAGCTGATCTGCACTGTGATTGGCCAAAAAAAGAAAGGCTTACTGACTTTTTGGGACTTTTTTTCCCATAGATTTTATGAAATGAGGGTGCCAGACCTGTGCACATTTCTGATACAATGTATTTTGGTGTATACTCCCTGTGGTAGAATACATCTATAATGAAATACATCTCAGGAACTGAGACAAACTGCAAAGAGTGGAGATATTTGACATTTGCAAATTTTAGTTAAAAATTTGATTTTTATAGTTACTTTTGATGATGGTGGAAAGCTATGCTCACTTCCAGAGAAAGCATCCTGAAATATTTTTCCTGACTAGATTACTGCAAAAAGCAGAAGTCAACTAGTTACCTTCTCATAAATAAATTAACATGATAAGGTTGCATAGTATTTTATAATGATAATTGATAAATGGTGATGATTTAATTGCACTTCCTCTAGTAATAATCTTAAAATGCTCAGATGAAGTTCCTGTGATTGGCTTTCTTGTGAGTTAAATCTCCCTGGGGTCTTCAGTCATCCCTTCTCTACATCCGGCGATAACTTGCTTTAGCTGTTTTAAATAATACAAATCAATTAGAACACACAGCTGTTTAACAAAACTTCCAAATGTTGCTACAGGTCTCTGTGGGTATTTCCTGATGACTTATAATGACATCAATTTAGCACACCTGGTAGGATCTGTGTGAGCTGGAAGTGGCTTAATTCTGCAATGACAGGAAAATTAAGGAGTATTTATGGATTAGTGTTGCCTTCCAGAAATGTTGCCAACTGTGATTTTCAGCTTCTTTTTAGGAGGATTCAGAACTGGAATTACAGATACTGCAGCCCCATCTCCTGAATTGTTTACGTGTAACTTGATGGGTGCTTTTTAGTATTATTTATTTATATTAGTAATTTAAATACCATATAAACATATATTATATGTATGATGTATAATATTTATAGTAGTTATTTATAAGATAGCATACACAAGTACATAGTGGTACTGCCTAAACAGCTCAAACTTATTGGGCCCTCTGTGTGTAATAAAAATAATAAATAGCAGGTGTAATGTCCCATTTAAGAAGGCAGCAGCCCAAAAGTGCCATGGTCAAATGCTAAATGGTGAGGCGAATTGAGAGAATAAAACTTCACAAGAACAGGAAAGAAGTTAAAAAAAACCCAAGAAGAATGGAGAGTGGAGAACAGAAATGAGACAAATGGGGAGGAATCTTCCCAAATATGAACATGAACATATATTGTCACATGGTAGTGTGTGGTGTAAGAACCAGGAATTAAAAAAAATACACAACAGATAACTAATACTGAGTTAATTTGTAGAGGCTGCATTTGATGTTTTATCATTTTGGAAACCTCTCTGAAGATGGGTGGGAGATGTGAAGCAGCAGAGGGTGACCCTGTGGTTATAGCCAGAACTTCAGGCCGTGTGGCCCTGGTTGGGTGTTCTCCGTGGAGTTGGAAATGCAGGACTGAAAGGCTTTTATTGCTAGGATGGGTATGGGGTAGGCATTGTCAGGGCATGAATTTTCATCCTCTGTGGCTGAGGGCTTCACACCTGTTTGGAAGTGCCTCCATCAAGATCCAGGACACTGGTGTAGCCTTCACATCCAGGTATTTTCCACAGAGCGTGGAATGATGCTGGAGTGATGGATGCAGTCATCTCCTAGGAGGTAAACTGAGGCCCACTGATTTCTCGAGCACCTTCTGAAATGTAGTAATAGTGGAATAAGGGATTGAAAAAAAAAATGGGTGAAGGCACTACTGAATCTTTGTAACTTTTTTGCCCTGATGGATATTTATAAAAGTGTAGACAAAGCAGAAGGACTTCAACGGGGGGAGAGACAACACTCTGACAAATATGTTTCTAAGACTATGATGAAACTGAGTATTGATGTAGTTAATTCTATGAACACAGGTGCCCAAGTCCATTTTTGATTTTTGTTACTTCTGCTAATCCATGCCCTCCATTAATTTTTTTCCTGCGTGGAAGCAAACTAGCAAGAGAATTTTGTAAGCTGATGAATGAAGCTGATCACAGTCTGTAGCATCAGCAGCAGTTTTGTTTTTAACAGAGTGATGTTGTCATAAAGGCTGACCTTCCCCTGAGGAAACAAAGTCGTAAACACAATCAAGAATATGTGCTAAGGCTTAATCAATGCTTAGTGGTGATGGAATGTAAAACCAAACATCCAAGGGTAGAAATCGAATTGCATTATTGCAGGAGGCTCAGGGGCTGAAAAACTACCCCATAAAACAAGAACAAAACTTGGTGACTTGAAGATCCTGCAGAAATAGTCTGAAAAAATTTATCTGTGAGTCAGGATTCCAAAGGGCTCTGGAAGCTGGGGAGCACATGTGTCCATACATGACTCCCTTCCCTTTTAACCAACACTGTTCAGATGCAATTACTTCTGCTACCAAAGTGCTCCCAGGCATGGGAGGGGACACATTTCATGTGTGGCACCTTGGTTCTGGATTTGCCAGCAATAAATCAGCATTTTCCTGGTTTAGCCATTTACTGTTGCTGCAGATGAAGTAACTCAGACCATTCTGATACTGACTATATCCTACATTTCTGAGTAGTGAGTGGTCAGGAATTTTGCATCTGTTTTTTCTCAACCATTCATTTCTCAGTTTCATCTAAATGAGGTGGTTTTCTTCTGTCCTTTGATCCTTAGCAGGTAGTTTTAATATGTCCTTGTCATATCAAAAGTATTCAACCAAACCTAAAGTATAGAAATCACAACACAGAACTTCACCTATTTCTGAGTTAATCCAGAGTCTTTTTCAGCCAGGAGTTAGGAATCTGGAGGACACATTCTTTATAGTACCTCAATAATCCTGTCCATTACATCATTTAATTTATAGCAGTGTTAACGGGAAAATCAATAAACATTATTTCTAAAATGTCAGGGATGTTAATAGTGTGATTTAAAAAAGGAGAAAGAGTCAAAACTCTGAGCAGAACACATTGATAGAGTGTTGTAGAGGCACATCTTGCTGAAAATGTGATGGGGAGGATTTAAATCATTACGGCTCAGTCATTTTGAAAAATGTGGTAAGGTATCTATTCTTAGACACACAAATCTTTCTTGCCATATTGTGGGATTTTGCTAAGTGGGGGTGGCTGTATACAGTATTTCTTAACAGAAGGTTGCTAGGATCGCTCTTAACGAATTTGAGTTGCATCAACAGTTGCTATGGATCCCCTGCTAATATTTTTGGAAAAT